CCTGCTGAAATGCCCCCCAACATGATGCTGCCACCACCATGCTTCATTATATCAATGTATTAGCCAGATAATGAGCATTATGTGGCGTTCACCAGACATGGTGCTTGGAGTTCTGTTGAAGGGGTTCATTTTTTGTCTCATCAGACCACAAACTCCTTTTTGTCATGGGCTCACAGTCCTTGCAATGCTATTTGATAAACTCCAAACAGGTTGTTGCATGCCTTTTACTTAAAGTGGCTTCCATCTAATCACTTCACTATAAAGTGGTGGATTGATGCTGAGATCCTTCACTCATTTCTGCAGAGGACTTTGGAAGCTCTGTTAGAGTAACCAGTAGGCTCTTGGTCACACTTTGACACTTTTTCTAGTGTAATTAAGGGGTATGGATAATTTCTGAAGCAACTGTATGTGGCCTGGTATAGCCCCAGTTTTGCCCCATACACACTCCTATAATTTCAAAAAATGAGAGGAACAAATTGGGACTAGGACAAGCCTGTAGTGAACAAACAACGTCACAGACTGCTGACAGTAACTGCTGTGCTAGCCTAGTAAAACCCTTTTCCCAACACGCTGCTTTACTGACGTATTAGCCTATAGCTTTGCTACATCCATCAAATAAGGACTACAGAGCTCCCACTCAGCCTCGGTGTTTGAAAGTGGTAGGCCAAGATCGAGGAGATAAAGAACGGGAGAGAATCTAATAATAGTGCCCTTCTTCAGGATGTAGCTAGAAGACTAGCTACACACTAATGTCAAGTCATAACTGGGCGCGGATACAGCCGCTACTTTTAAGCTACGTACAGTCTGACAACCTAATTCACTTTTAAACTCAGGCATCACATGGTTTCCCCATTCAAAAGTAACTAAGTTTCCTCAGCAAGGAACAAGACAAAGTTACTGCTGTAGGCTACTCAGCTAACTTGCCAAAAGCTAGCTAATGTTAAGAATAAAGCTAGCGTTAAGAAGCTAACTTAGTTAGCTCGGCGATGCTTATATTACCTGTACGCTGCATTCTTTTCCCTGAAGAGGTTTTACGGTAAGGATCATTTTCGATGATACTTGTAAAAGAATAAAACCACACAACAATGCGTTCAAAGATTAACATTCAAAATGTACCCAAGTAACGTTACTTTATTGTCTGATATTGCTACAAGGATTGTTCTCTTGTCAGTGGGCCATCTTCTTCTCCGACATTCGTCTTCTTCTATTGTTTAATGGCGGTTAGCAAACACATTTTCGACGCATTATCGCCACCTTCTGGATGCAATTATCGATCAGAATCGCTACTACTGATCTACTACACTGTCTCTGTTACAATACCGCCGCTTACTGGTTGGAGTGTGGAACGGCCCCTGAGGGTTGCCCTCTGTGGAGGATAATTTTACCTAAAAAAAAAGCAAATTAGCAAATTAACTGAGCTGTTTTACAGGGAACAGTCCCACCATCACACCATGATTAAATATTAAAATAACAAAGGAAGATTATCAAAAACAAAGGCGCTGCCGGAGCTTTAGTTGTAGAACTAATATACACACGACATACAGGCGAATTATTATGTAGTTATTAATAATATTATCGTTACAAACCATACACCGGATTTAGTTTTTTTTCTTTTGCTCAGTACAGCCTAAAGGCCAGCATAAAATGAAATTAAGCTCTCTGTCCAACCCACGTACTTGTGTCATATTGAACAAAGCTTTTTCCTCTTAGGCTAACTCTAACCCCAACACCTATTTAAGTCTGCAGTCATCAATAAATAATCAGAAAGTGTGTTTATAGTTTATAATCATAACCAGTTTTAATGTTTTATGGGGAAAATACAATTGTTGACATAACACAATTTATAAGCACTATTTTCATGTTAAAGATAGTTACTCTACATCACTGTGACAGAGTTAAGGTCTTTTAAAATAACTATGTCTAAAAAAAACTTAATTTAGGCTACAGCTATAAACACTAGGCCACTTCGGAATAATCCTCTGATCAATGCACAGATTCCCTCTTTAACCTCTTTCACATTCGAGGGTAAAATGATGAATATTCACTGTTCAGTTCGCCAGAGAGCCACCACCAATCATCAGGGCTCCGAAAACCCCTAAAGACCGTCTGACCCAGTTGGGCTCCAGTCTACAGTACGCATTTATCATTACACCCTCCCGGATGGTCTTCACTCTTGGTCATGTGATTATACCGTCTGAGCCCGGATAGCCCAGAGCGAGAGAGCAGCGTCCTTCACTTGTGCGGCTGTAGAGGAGATCTGCTCCTCTCGAGTGCGCTGTGTGCTGCCAAACAGTGGACAAGTGAGGACGACTTCCACAACGCCGTACGCGCTACGTGTGGTAAGTGTTCTTTATGTGTGATGTGACATTCATTGCTGCATAACATCCTGCAGGACAGAGCTCACGTCTGTGTTTACAAACAGCGTTGTCCGGTTTCAGTGTACGTGGTTCCATCTGTGTTTACAAACAGCGTAAAACATGCTGTTGTCCGGTTTCAGTGTACGTGGTTCCGCGTGCACCTGCGATCCGGAATGAAATGTATTTTGTTTCTGTTGGAACTTAAAAGGTGAGGGAGTTTACACAGAGGTGCTTTATGTTTATTTGCATTAGATATCACTTCTTCTTTATTTTCCTTTATTCTCTTGTAACCATGTTAAGTGCTCTTGAATTCTTTTTTATCAGTATGAAGGTAGCCTATGTGTTAATGCATTTGCATGCCTAATCCCTGCTGATCCCAAGTCAAGCCTGCAACTAGTTCTCAATGCAAGGACAGTTTATTGTTTTATTGCATGGGAAGCTGTCTTTGGATTAGACTTGAGCATGTTTTTCCCAGAAAAGGAATATCATAGAACCCTGTTCCATCTACTGTATCTATAGAAATTATTGGGGTATACAGATGCCTAAAGCACACTCTCCTCAGTGTGCTAATGGATTCACCCACATTGAAGCCATTATACCTTATTGATTCTCCTGTTCTATTATTTATATTCCCAATACACTGTAAGTGGCCACAGAAAGAGGTGGACATAACTGAGCGAGACTGTCAAGGTCTGAGTTGTCTGAGACTGTAGCTGCAGAAGGAGTCTCAGTGCAACTCCAAATCACACAGAAATTGTACATATATAATAGTGGGAGCCACTCCCTCTATATATGTACACTATGTGCATGTTTGTATTTAGAAAGAAATTGTTTTGCAGTGTTTTGTCACCTATTGTTTGCAGGCAATGGGCACACTTCGGGACCTCCAGTTTGCCCTGCAGTTAAAGATTGAGGAGCTTCGTCAGAGGGACACACTAATAGACGAGTTAGAGCTGGAGTTGGACACAAAGGATGAACTCATTCGGAGACTGCAGGAAGAGCTGGATCGCTACAGAGCCACTGTCACCCTCCCAGGACCCTCTGCAGTCAGTGCAGGTACTGAACATGCTGCTTTTATATGTCACATTTTAAAGCAACTTGTAGCATGAGATTTAGAATTCAGACCTATTTTGTGTTTTTCATGTTGCTTGCTCAGCTCAAGTTGAGGACAAGCAGAGAGCCAAGAGGAGGACAGTCATTTCTGAGCCCTTCACACTGGACCCCGCGACTCTCACCATGGTTTCACACAAAAACTGTGACAAAAGCCAGGAGTAAGAGCACACAGTGTTCCCTCAGCTTCCCTGTGCTCTAACTAAAGTCTGTGTCTCAATTGTTTAAGGCTCAGTGACTGTTTTCTGCATGACTCAAAATCAACACATATTTCTAATCCAACACTCCAACCTATGAAACATTCAAGGTGTTCAATAGCTTGTTACATAAGTGTCCTACCTTCGTGCCCTCAGGTCTCAGAGGTTGATTCAGGCAGCAATTTTGAAAAACGACTTATTGAAGAACCTTGATGAAAGAGAAATCAGCAGCATCATCGCCTGTATGTATCCCACCACTATCAACCAAGGCTGCTATGTCATTCAGGAGGGGACCAGTGGGGCTCAGGCTTATGTTGTAGAAGGTAAAAGGTTTTTCTTCTTACGGCTGCTAACATTAATCATATTTGAGATTAACCTTAATATCTCCTTGAGATGACAGGTGCTGGAGAGAAAGTCGATTGAACCGATAGATCTTATCTTTCATACTGCAGGCTCATAATTAGATAATCTGACACTGCTGTCAGGCACAGTGATGTGACAATTGCATGTTTGAGCAAGAAAAGACGAGGTACTTAGGGGAATAACAAGTGACATATATTAATGTTTTGTTTTGAAATGTCAGCTTGAGCCAGAAGAGACTGGAGCAAAGAGGCTCTGCCTTGCTCTCACTGTGGAGTTACACCAGTGTTTATTTGTCATTAGGAATCCTGGCCACGTTTGTAATGTGACAGGAAAGTGGCTGCTCCCTGTTTTTCTCTTGTCAGTCTAACCAGTGAGGTGGTGGCCTTGTTTGGCTCAGAACTTGTTTGTACAGCACATCCCAGACAGCGGAAGGTTCTTTTCAGTCTCTCTGCACTTTCTAATTGCACATAATACAGGGTGGGCCACGGAAAAGTAGCCCTTGTACCTGTATTGCCCATGGCACCGGTATTGGAGGCAGGCTACTTTTCTGTGGCTCACCCTGTAGTTCTACAGATTATGTACAGGACTGTGCACAAGTCTTATGATGACAATATATTTTTATTTCTCAGTATTTTTTTTATCAGAATACAACTAGAAAATATAGGAAATATGTACACGGTATTAAAAAGTAAAAATCAGCAAACAAGCTGGATACTCAAGATGTGATATTCAAGCTGTTCTAAAGACATATGAAGAATTCAGAGAGGTCAAGGACAAAAACTGGAGTGGAAGACCAAAAACAAATCTGATGAGAAGTTTCCCAGAGTTTCATCTTTGACAGACCAGAGGAAATCCTGCAAGGACCTGGCTCAGCATCTGGCAGCTTCATCTGGACGCCAAGTTGATCCTTCCACAGTCTGAAGAAGCCCGACCAGGAACGGCTTTTGTAGAAAGATAGTAACAGAGAAACCACTTTTCCAGAAGGGGACAGGGAGAAAAGGCAAAGACTGGAGCGAGGATCAGATCAGAGGAAAAGAGTGTTATGGAGTGAGGAATGGAAGTTTGAAATGTTCAGGTCCAATCATCAACCATATGTAAGAAGAAGAGTTGGAGTGAGGTGGAAGAATGAGGGCTCGCAGCCTTCAGTGACACATGATGGAGGGTCTTCCAAAAAGAATTCAAGCTGTGCTAAAAGAGGTCACACTAAACACTGACTTTGGACTGCAGAAGCCATTTGTTATGAAAATTGCTTTTTAATATTGTGTACATATTTCCTCTCTTTTTTGTTTATATCCTAATAAAGACAGAAATAAATCTAAAAGATCATTACAACCTTGCTAAAACAGCTAAACTAATGGTGGCCTAAGACTTTTGCACAGTACGGTACGTGCTATATTTCTTCACGGACTGTATGTTTATTACCAGAGGGGAGGCTGCAGCTGACAAAAGATGGACGAAAGCTGCTCACAGTCGAGCCAGAAGACATGTGTGGAGAGCTAGCACTCCTGTACAACTGCGTCCACACCTACTCTGTCTCAGGTATCAATGCATTGTGTTGGCTTCTTGGTGTTATGTTTGCATGCTGTAATGACTGGAGCTGTGTCACACCAAAACATAGGTGGAGCTTCACTGTGATTCATTTGGATTCGGCGGGGGTATAAATAATTCTTGGTTAATTTTCACAAGCAGGAGGATTTCTGGCAGAGGTCTTACGCAGTCTGTTGCATTTAAAATCGAAGACCTTTTGAGATCTTAGACAACACCACAATTTCAGCTGTGTTTCTCAGAGATCTGGGGAATTTCAAACGTTTTATGTTTTACTTCATAGTCTAGCTGTCTGACATCTCCTTCCTGCAGTCCAACATGCATTAACTGAAAGCTCACTCACTCATGGTTGGATCATAACCTGTTATACATTTCTAGCATAAGAGTTTGTGATATTCCATAGAGAACAGAAAGTATGCAACCATTTCCTTCCGGCATCTGATCACAGAATCCTGTGGGGAAACTCTCTAAGCCATCACCCTGTGCATCTGGCTCGATTTCACAAATAAATAGGCTGTGCGAACAGCCACGATCGGTTTAAATGGATAAGTCAGTTTATTTGTCTTGTTTAGTCTCTAAGCCTCTCATTCCTATTTTATATCCTTTCTAATTCACTGTTCTACACTATAGGTTTGCCCTCACTGACAGTACTCAGCTCATGTCAGCAGCTTGCTGTCCTTTGTTCCATGTCCATTTCTGACAGCCCTGCCCTTTGAATCTGTTCAGGGCCCACTATGTGTTTATCTCCTCCCTGACCTGAAATTACTTTGTTTTTTCCATTGTTGCTATCTGAGGCCATCAGTCAGGCTTTTGCTCATGTGGTCTCTTTCATTGTGACAGTGATTAAGGTGCAGGTGAAAAACAGGACATCATTATTAGGTCACGGATGTTCAGGGCGGCAGAGGATATATTGCAGAAAACGTCAGAAAATCTAGACTTGTAGTTTTTAAAAATTACTCTGCACAACACTTGGCTGCAATAAATAAATAAACAAAAAACAATGGGCATGAATAGTGCATCATATGGTGCGAAAGTGAAAAGCAGTGGGGTCTATTCAGATGGGGGAATTGATATATCAGGTCTGCACTGTATTATCAGATGGTGGATCTAATTAGACTGTCTAGAGCACATCCACTTCCATTTGCAGGAAGCTTCAGTGAACCAATCAATACGGGTCATTATTAATTTACAGCACCCTCTGTCAAGCTCTATTCTAAAGAATGAGGATAATTTTATCTGAGGAAATCAGATTAGATTTATATTAAAAAGCTCTCTGTAAGGAAATGAAGCACTTAATTTCTTTTTCATTCTACGTGGTAAGCATTTTCACTGCTTGGGCTGTAGCTGATTCTGCATTGTACATCCACTGCCATTTAGTGCCATTTCAAATACTGGCTTCTTCCACCTGGTGACATGTCCACGTCTATTACCTCCACTGCCTCTCTCTTTTGATCTGCAGCGCAAACTGACAGCAAGCTGTGGGTTATTGACCGCAAGAGCTACCAGACCATACTTAAACAGAGTGGTCTCAACCGCCTTTCTCATTCAGTGGAGCTGCTTAGCAGGTGAACATCACATCAATATATTTGATCTGACACAGAGCAGGCTCAGGAGGCTGCTTTGTATCCTGGTACATTCAGCACAGTGCCACTGGGTTCATGTTGTTTGTAGGTCAACACAATTCTGCATTCAGGCATTTAACATTGACCACAGTATCAACCTTGCTAATATGTTTCTGAACATGCATAAGCACCCGGGTGAAAACCTACAGCAACTCTCTGGATGGGTTACACAGGAACTTGAGAAGATAAAGAAATGGTGTGACAGTAATATAGTATCTCTGAATTTGGATAAAACTAAATTTATGGTATTTGGGAATCGCAGACTAGACAATGAAACTCAATTGAAAATTGGGGGAGCTAATATACAATGAGTACATGAAATTAAATTTCTAGGTGTCATAGTTGATGACAAATTCTCCTGGAAATCTCATATCAGATATGTTCAGCACAAAATAGCAAAAAATATATCGATATTGGCAAGGGTTAGATATATTTTGGACGGGAAAGCACTACGCATTTTGTATTCTTCATTGATT